ACATTTATGGCAGTTTCCCGCGGTCATGTGATCCCCTTTTGTGACCAAGCAAAGCCAATGGGGGAAGCCGGTTTCACTGAACAATCTTGTGACTAACTTAAACAACCGCAGCGATTCACTTAGCAACCGTGGCAAGAAAGGTGGTAGCATGGAGGCAAAACTGACTTAACAACCGTCTCGCTTAGCCATAGAAGTGTTGGGCTCAATTGCGGTCGCACGTCGAGGAATACCGGTACATATTGCTGAACTAGTGACTCTTTTAACAGATAGATGTGTCTTTGAGAAAGACTGAGGCAGGGACTTTTAAGATATGAAAAGACAGGTCATTAAATGAATCCTGTTTTCTGAAGGTGCTCCTTTACACCATCCCTACATCTGCTTTGGATGAAGAGCATCCAAAGAGATAAAATAAAATAAAGACCAGAGCAGCAAGTTGACTCACGCCTGTCTAAACTTCCTAATGTTTGTCATTCCTCCTTTAAAAAAAAGAAAAGAAAAAAATTGAAACAGCATTCTTGCTCTTCGTGAGTTTTCTGTTATTTATTTATGTTTTCCCTGTTCATCTTCCCACCTGCGTTTGTGTGCGTGTGCGTTTTATGCTTTTAAATCATTGTGGGATAATCTACATGTAATTCTTTTTTCTTTTTTCTTTTTTTTTTTTTTAAGACGGTGATCACTCTTCCAGTGATTTTTTTGATCTGCTTGGCCCTTGCAAACTTGGTTTCTTCCTCTCGTGTTACGGTTCTGGAGAGCTCATGGATTTGGTCATTTCCTCTATTGCGGGACTTCTCCATTTCTTCCCCAGCTGTTGAGCATTACCTCAACTAAGCAGATTTAAAGGCTCAAACTGGGGCTTATTCCCTCCTAGCTTGTTTAATGCATTACGAAGCAGGACGGCTGTTTATTCCAGCGGTCCCTTCATAACATTTCTTCCTAGCCTTCGCAGGCACCTCCCACCCACTCCTGTGACGATATTGTGCCCTCAGTGGGCTAAGACGTTGAGCTTGTCGATCAGAAAGGTCGGCGTTTCGAATCCCTAGTATAGGTCTCCTGCGTGAGCAGGGGGTTGGACTAGATGACCTCCAAGGTCCCTTCCAACTCTTGTTACTGTTACTTCCACCTTTCGAAACACGACTCTGGGGGATGTTCTACGGATCCTCCACTCCGTCAAGCTCTCGGGAGAAGCCTGCGCAAGGACGGCATGTGTCAAACACAAGGAACAATGAGGGTAGTAAGCCACAAGTGGCTTGAGTCATCTAAGATCAATAGAATAGAGCTAGGAGGGACCTAGGAGGTCATCTAGTCCAACCCCCTTGCTCATTCAGGAGATCTATACTAGGGATTCGAACCGCCGACTTTTCTGATCGCCAAGCTCAATGTCTTAGCCACTGAGGGCATGAATCCTGCTCTCATGTCCCTCCCTAGTCTTTCTTTTCTCTGGACTGGCCACACCCAAATCCTGCAACCGTCCTTCCTATGTTGTTGGGTTTTTTTAAAGTTTGTCAAGCATATAGAAGATAACAGGTAAAAGTATAAACATAATTTGAATACATGAAAAGAGTAAGTAAAAAGGAATATTAGGACAGGGACGGAAGGCACGCTGGTGCACTTATGCACAAACCCCTTACAGACCTCTTAGGAATGGGGTGAGGTCAATAGTAGACAGTCTAAGGTTAAAGTTTTGGGGGTTTGGGGAACAAACTACAGAGTCAGGGAGTGCATTCCAGGCATTGACCACTCTGTTGCTGAAGTCGTATTTTCTGCCATCGAGTTTGGAACAGTTTATCTATTATTTGCTCGTGTACTGTTGTGGTTGAAGCTGAAGTAGTCATTGACAGGAAGGACATTGTGGCAGATAATTTTATGTACTACGCTTAGGTCAGACTGAAGTCGGCGTAGTTCTAAATTGTCTAAGCCCAAAATTTGGAGTCTGGTGGCATAAGGGATTTTTACTGCGGTTAGAGGAATGGAGGACTCTTCTCGTAAAATATCCCCGGACTCTCTCGATTGTATTTATGTCCGATATGCAGTGCAGGTTCCAGACAGATGAGCTGTATTCAAGTCGATATTTTAAGTCTCCAGGTTTTTACTCATCTTAATTGCTCTTCTTTGCACTGCCGTGGACATCTTTTATTTTATGGGGTTCTCACCTAGTTGAAAGGCTCGTTGATATTGCTAGTCCATGGATGATAGGCCGTACGCTCAATGAATATTCGCACTTTCCACCGCGAACTAAAAACACGGTTCTTTAAATTGCCCAGCCTGGACTGATGGGGTTGATTATTTTTAATGTGTTTTAATATGTGTTTAATATGTATTTTTAATATGTTTTTATTTGGATTGAGATGGTTTTTCTTAATTGTTGTGAGCCGCCCTGAGTCCTATGGAGATAGGGCGGCATAAAAATCAAATTAAATTAAAATTAAATTAAAAATATACGAATAAACAAACCACTCTTCCCTTTATCACAGCAGAGGTGGTGAGGGCTCTCTTCCACCCCCACCCCCACCCCAAACCACTGGGCTTCGCTTGTGCCAAAGCGAGGCCTCTCCAGCAGCGTCTGTCACTCAGATGAGAAACCAATTAGATCTCCTTGGTGGATTCACTTCTCTTTCTTCCAGCAGGCACCTAATTGGAGCCACACCAGTCACTTGTTCCCTTCCTCCCGAAGAGAGCCGAAATGGCTAATCTTCTTGCTGTTATCTTGCCCCTCTAAACCACTCAGTCTCAGTATTTGCTGGCATGAACTGTAAGACCGGGAGCCAGTATTCCTCTGTGGGTATCAGGATCAAAAACAAAAAACAAAAAACGAGAAAGGCTGCCGCCAAAAAGCGTTTCTTGTAAGAAATGCTTACTTCTCTCTTCCTTCCTAGTTCAGTTAAGATGCTCCCGGCAGCGTGCGACAGGGCTCAAGGGATGGAGGGTGAGGGGAGGCCTCTCCAGCCCCGGGGGATCTCTCCAGAGGGTCCGACCTGCTTGCAAGGCACCCCTGGAAGAATGCGTCTTCGTGTGATAAAATTAATGAATCGCCCTCCGTTTAGGAGATTTAACTTGTCAGGAGGAGGAGGGAGGACGTGAAACTTCTTAGTGATGTCTCTACGTGCGAGACTGGAAACAAAAAAGAAGGGATTTTTCCACCCACAATCCCAAGAAAATGAGCATCGCTAGGACAAACGGGCAGAATTTTGGAAAAACTAGAGTTTGTAAAGGATGGTGCAAGGACAGTGGTTCTCAAACGTCTCGAAGCAACGGTAATAGAGTTGGAAGGGACCTTGGAGGTCATCTAGTCCAACCCCCTGCTCACGCAGGAGACCTATACTAGGGATTCGAACCGCCGACCTTTCTGATCGACAAGCTCAACGACTTAGCCACTGAGGGCACGATATCGTCACGGGAGTGGGGGGAGTTTTGAAGAAATGTTATGATTTCAATCTTGAGTGAAGTCTCGTGGGGGGGTGTCCTGTGGCCACAAAAGGTATTTAGAGGGAATCCGTGGTGATGAAAAGAACGAGAACCACTGGGGTAGGAGATGAGCAGGCTAAGCTGTAAGGCAGGGTTAAACGTGTCATTAGTTTGGAATCATTGCGTAGCCACAAGACACCCAGCCCTCTGTGAATTCTGTTGACTCTTCGTTGTTGTTAGTTTCAAAGTCATGTCCGACCCATCGCGACTCCATGGACAACGTTCCTCCAGGCCTTCCTGTCCTCTACCATCCTCTGGAGTCCATTTAAGCTCATGCCGACTGCTTCAGTGACTCCATCCAGCCACCTCGTCCTCTGCCGTCCCCTTCTTCTTTTGCCCTCCATCGTTCCCAGCATTCAGCTCTTCTCCAGGAAGACCTTCCTTCTCATTAGGTGGCCAAAGGATTTCAGTTTCATCTTCAGGATCTGGCCTTCTAAAGATCTAGCTAGCGCCAATTTAGCTTTGACCATGTTGATTAGATTCTTGTGCATATGCCTTGACTGAACCATGTGACTGATGATTTGCGAAAAGGGAAAAACTTTTACTTTTAATGAGGTGAAAACTGCGGGAACCTTCAGAGTCGGTTTTCACCAGAACTGTGCCAATATGATATACCCAATAAAACTATTCTTTGAAGGCTCTACCTGCCTCGGAGTTTTGCTTGCTATGGGTGTACTCCTTGGAACCCTGACAATGGGAATGCTGTTTCTCCAAAATGCTGGAAAGCTGCAGCCAAACAAAATAGATAATTCTGTTCTGGAACAGCCCAGGTTCCTCTGTTCAATGCGAAGGTATCTCTGGGTAGGGAAAGAATTCTGACTGCCGTGCAGAAGATTCTAGATGGGTCAAGGATCTGACTATGTAACTTCTGCAAAGGTAACTCCACTCCAGAAGTTAATTCTGCTGCTGCCAGCTACCTTTGTGTTACATGTTTGCGTGTTGAGAGCCAGAGTTGGGTGAATCTGTCTTGCTATCATCATATTTTTCTACCATTTCCTCAGACAAATTTCAGATTTCTGGCAAACTTCACTGTTCTCTCAGGATGAACAGCACAAAAGGTTCCGCGGCGAAGAACAGGTGAAGGTTGGGCTTTGTGTGCAGAAGCTGAGATTTCAGGTGAAAATGTCAACAAAAGCATACCCAGTATTTAATCATCAATATTATGGAGTGACAACAAGCTTGTTGGCAAAAAAAAAAAAAAAAAAAGTAGGAAGGAGAGAGGGAGAAAGAAAGATTATAAAGATGGGAGAAATGTCACAAACACACCACACAAGAATCCTACCTGACCTTTGCAATAAGTCACATGGATAAAAGACACTCTTATTATAGAAACCAATAAACACAGTATGACTCACCAAACATAAAAAAAAAATATTGTATAATAATAAAAAAAATGGCAAGGAAGCAAGCTTTAATAATAAAGTACGTTTTGGTCTTTTCATATTTCAGCCAAATTTGCACCCCCTTCCCACCCAAGCCCGTTTGCCTTAAAAGCAGGGCCGGCTCCAATTTTTAAGAAAGAGGTAAGGTGAACATACCTGCTACGTCTGACCATAAACGAGGTGGAAGCTTCCATTTGCTCCGTGGAGGCCCTGGCACTTTGCCTTTCAACTTCTCTCTGTAGGGATGGGAGACGCGAGGAAGAAAAACAGGAGATTGGTATTAAAGAAGTAAAAGAGGTAAAGTCAAAGGTTCCCCTTGCACATACGTGCCAGTCGTTCCCGACTCTAGGGGGCGCTGCTCATCTCCGTTTCAAAGCCGAAGAGCCAGCGCTGTCCGAAGACGTCTCTGTGGTCATGTGGCCGGCATGACTCAACGCCAAAGGCGCACGGAACGCTGTAACCTTCCCAACAAAGGTGGTCCCTATTTTTCTACTTGCATTTTTTTTAACCTGCTTTCGAACTGCTAGGTTGGCAGAAGCTGGGACAAGTAACGGGAGCTCACTCCGTTACGCGGCATTAAGGATTCGAACCGCTGAACTGCCGACCTTTCGATCGACAAGCTCAGCCTCTTAGCCACTGAGCCACCACGTCCCTTTCCATTAAAGAGGTACTGGAATACAATGCTTTTTTTAAAAAAAACAAAAAACAAAAAACAAAAAAAAAGGGAGCATCCATTAACTGATTGATTAGGTCTGGAGATTTGTGTAATCACAGGGCTACAAGGGACCTTAGAGGTCTTCTAGTCCAACCCCTTGGCCAAGGCAGAAGACTTTATAGCATCCCAGATACACGGTGTCCCAGTCTATTTTTGGAAATCAGTGATGGAGCATCTACAACTCTGGGAGGCAAGTTGTCCCATTGATTAATTGTCCTCACTGTCAGGAAATTCCTCCTTTGTTCTAGGACCATCGGTTACTTCTTGTCCTGCCCTCAGGTGCTTTGGAGAATAAGTCGACCCCCCTCCCTTCTCCATGACTGTCCCTCAAGTACTGGAAGGCTGCTGTCATGTCTCCCCTGAGCCTTCTCTTCATTAGGCTAAAAGATACCTAACCTGTTATCATTTTAGCCTCCAGACCGCGTATCGTTTTGGTTGCTCTATTTTCAGATATTCCAGAGAAATGATACCTTGGCTCAGCCACATCACACGGAGTAAAACATTGGATTTTAATTTTTTTTTTTCCCCATGAGACAGGACGACGGAGGGCAGGTGCCAGAAATTGGCCAGATTGAGAGTTTTTTGAGGATGTTGAGTCGGGCAGACTCTCGCTAAGCCCTCCTCACACAACTTGGAGAGGATGCTGGCAGGGAGGTAACCAGGAGGAGAGAAGGGTTGAGGAACGGCTTCTCCCTCCCGAGTAGAAAATCTCGAGGGACATTCAGGGAGGTGAGAAAAGGGGAAACTGATTTTGTCTCCCCCCCCCACCGCACACACAAATGGGGACTAGGCCCTGCCCCCCTTGAATATTTGGTCTTTCTTACCTCAGGCAGCTGGCCAGCCTGTGGATCAGGGACCAGAAGAAAGGCGAGGGGGATATTTCTGAAAGTGACCAGGCCATGCTTGCTCCTTTGCAGACGGGGTAAACCGAAGCAATAGCTTCCTCCTTCTATGGAAAAAAAAAAAGAAGAAGAAGAAAAATCTGTGGTTAAAGCATCTCTCCCACCTTCTTTTGTTTCGTGGCTGTTCCCACAATCCTAACCCTAACCTTACCTCTGAATAAACCACATTTCTGAGGAGGTATCTATGGGAACTACGCAGGGGTGGGCTTCAAAATTTTTAGCAAGGAGTTCTCTGCCCGGTTGCTGGGGAGGCGTGGCCATGGTGGGCGTGGCCTAGTCAGTCTCCTGCACCATGGGGGGGGGAAGGGAGGTGCTTTCTTCGAGCCTCCGGGAGGGCGAAAATGGCCTCCCCAGGCTCCGGAGGCCCTCTGGAAGCTGTGTTTCTTTCCTCTGGTACTTTCTTTTTTTTTTTTTTTTGTAAATATTTTTTATTTATTTTTTCAAATTTAAACATAAAAACATAACTTTCAAGAGCAAAAATCTCGATCCGGTCATAGATGGTTACCACGCTTACATTCCTTTCACAAGCTCAATTCACAATTTCCATTACATCTTTTATAAATAAACAAAAAAAGTAAAAAAAAAGAGAAGATAAAAAAGAAATTCAAAACTTAAGAAAAAACCAATTTTACCTCAAATTTCACATTTTCGTCTATATAAATCCATTATATCGATCCAAAATTAGTTTCAAATTCACTTTCACTCATTTTTACATCTGCATAACAATTCTAAACGTATCTTTATTCTTCTTTACCTTATATCTTATACAAGTCGTATCAAAATAATTTTTACGATATTCTAACCTCTTGTTAAAGTGTTTACCTTACAATTTTATCACCATTTATTCTTAGTTTCCTCTGGTACTTTCTGTCGGATGGTGAAAACGGCCTTCCGGTCAGCAAGGAGGCCTTGGGCCTTTGACAAAGGACGTCGGTTATTAACACACACCCCCCTTTCCCTTCTCTCTCTTCATTAGCTTTCGCTGCACTGGCGCATTTAACGTTCGAAGGGGAATGCGGAATGCTGCTTACAGCATCATTTCCAATCGCTTAGTGCACTAATAGTTTTCAATAATGACACCGCAGCTGCCAAGGGTTGACCTGCCTGGTGAGCTGTGGGGCACGGGAAGCGCATGTCGACTCAGGGGAATTCGTGACCTCGGATGGACAGCTCCCGTCGACGTTTTCCCAGCCCGCTCACCGCCGGCAAAGCCCGACCCTCAAAACTTGCAGAATCCAAGATTTATTTCCGAGTTGCTTGCTGCAAGCATTTTTCCCCCATCTTTCCATACGGAGTCAAAGCGTGCGTTGTCAACACTGAAGCCAGCCTGACTGAGGCCATCTTGGGAGGCTTCCGCGTTGCCACACTGGTGCTGAGGAATAAGGGGGGGGGGTAACAGAGATAGTTGGGGTTTTGTGGCCAAAACAAAATAGTTTCCCCTGAGACCAGGGGTGAAATGCTCCCAGTTCGGACCGGATCGCGTGATCCGGTAGTGATGGTGGCGGGTGGTTCGGAGAACCGGTAGCAAAAATCCCTGTGCCGCCCCCCCCCCACCATGTTTTTTTCTACAACCTCTTCCGCCGAAAAAATGCTTTTAAAAGTAAAAAAAAGAAAAAACCTCTGATGATCGCGCGGCTCAGCTGGGATCGTCAGAGGCTTTTCGAAGCATTTCTTTCTGCAACCTCTTGGCGGTAGGTGGTAAAAAAAAAATGCTTTGAAAAGTCTCTGGCGATCCCAGCTGAGTTGCCTGATCGGCAGAGGCTTTTCAAAGCATTAGAAAAAATGCTTTGAAAAGTTAAAAAAAAAAAGTTGGCCACGCCCACCCAGTCATATTACCTCCACCACCACCACCAAGCCACGCCCACAGAACCGGTAGTAACAAATTTTGCATTTCACCCCTGCCTGAGACCCAAGGACATTCCCACAGGTGGCTGAAGAGAGGAGGAGTCAAGTTTCCGAGCAACCGGACAGCACCTTGATTGGGCCATGTGATTGATGAGTTGGGAAAGGGGAGAAAACTTTTACTTTTAATTAGGTAAAAACTGCAGGAACCTTTAGAGTCGGTTTTTACCAGTCCGTGCTAGTATATGTCCAATAATGTTCTTTTAAGGAATCTACTTGCCTCGGAGTTCTGCTTGCTATGGGTATATTACTTGGAAGCCTGACACGTGTTATAACTCTCGCCTACGGTGGCTAATTCAGGTGGTCCTCGACTTACGACAGCTCGTTTGGTGACCGTTCAAAATTACTATGGCACTGAGAAAAGTGACTTGGGACCGTTTTTCACAGCATCCTCATTATCAGGTGATCAAAATTCAGATGACAGGTCACTGGTTCATATCTGCTTCTCTCCGAGGTCAGCAAAACGAGGACCCAGATTGTTGGGGGGCAAGAGGCTGATTCTGTAAACTGCTTAGAGAGCCCTGTGAAGCGGTGTATAAGTCTAAGGGCTATTTGCTATGAGCATGGCTGTGTCCCTAGGTTACGCGGTCCCCTTTTGAGGACAAGCGAAGTCAACGGGGAAGCCAGATTCGCTTAATGGCCATGTTACTAACTCAACAACCTAAGAGCCTTGGTAGTACAGTGGTTTAATGCACCCTGTTATTAACACAGCTGCCTGCAATTTCTGCAGGTTCGAATCTTACCAGGCTCAAGGTTGACTCAGCCTTCCATCCTTTCTAAGGTAAGTTAAATGAGGACCCAGTTTGTGGGGGCAATAAGCTGACTTTGTATAAATATACAAAAGTATGAAGGCTATTGCTTAATGCACTGTAAGCCGCCCTGAGTCTCCGGAGAAGGGCGGCATATAAATCAAATTAAAAAAAAAAAAAAAAAAGAGCAAGGACGTAAAACAGAGCAAAACTCACTGAGCAAATCTCTCGCTTAACCACAGAAATGTTGGACTCAATTGTGGTTCTACCTGTATTAGGTTTTTCCTTTTTCTTTTTTATTAAATATCAGCCCAGGCACTGGGACCTAATCAATCCTGCCACTCGGGCGTCACCCCCTCAAATCCCCCCCCCTCCGCGTCTCTTTTAATTAGGACAGCTGATGTTTTTTTTCTTGATCAGCAAGATAAAGATCATCTCGTCACCTTGGGGGAAGAACACAGCAGTCAGGAGCGGGGATGACTAGTTAGGTAATGACCGAAGACGGGGCAGTTTGACCTCCTCCGGAGGAGTGAAATGCCAATTAATTATCTTTTTTTTTTTAAACAACCAGCTCAATTACACCACGCGCTAATCGCCTGTGTAGGGCACTGCAAAAAAAAAAAAAAAAAAGGAAGGGAAGGGAAGAAACAGGATCAACCCTAAGTACCTGTAACCGAGAATGACAAGGCCCAGCTTCTAATCATAGGCACAAAGAGTTATGGGCCCATCCTGGCTGAACTCGGGTGCCAGAAGACAGTCCTCTCTCTTCAGGAAAAAAAAGAAAAAAAGAAAAAAGAAGAAGAAGAAATATTGCTCGGGGCGCCTTCAGCGCTGCCAACGGTATTCCCTGTAAAGGTGACCAGACACCGTTCATTAGCCTTTAATGCTCAATTCAATTACCAATAAATGTCAGTAATTAATAAGGCAGGTGTGGGGAAGATGCTGAGACGCCACGCAGGCAAGACATCCGCAGGAGTGAAATGGTGGAGGCTGTTTGGATTGTCTGAGCTGGGTCTTGATGTCCTGTGAACAATCAAGTGGCAGCAGACTTATATTATATTAAGGACTTATATTAAGTCCTCGACTTAACCACAACGGAGCCCTGAATTTCTGTGGCTCGGTTAAGCGAGTTTCGCCTCATTTTAACACCTTTCTTGCCGCCGTTGTTAAGCGAATCACTGCAGCGGTGAAGTTTAGTCAGGCGGTCGTTAAGCGAATCTGGCTCCCCCCATCTGATTTTGGCTCATCAGAAGGTCGTCAAAGGGGATTGCGTGACCCCCCCCAGGACAATGCAACTGTCATAAATACGAGTCAGTTGCCGAGCCGACTCTGAATTTTGATCACGTGATCACCGCCGGGAATGCTACCATGGTCATAAGTGTGGAAAAGGTCCCTTTTTTTTCAGTGCCAATGTAACTTTGAACAGTCCCTAAACGAACTGTTGTAAGTCAAGGACTGCTCGTACTAGCTTCTGTAGGAAGTTAAAACCCACCCCTCTCCTAGAAAATGAAATATTTTGGGAAATATTAAAAGGGCAGAATATTTCCCCTAAAAGGGAGGCAGAAACTCAGCCCCCGCCCCCCACTTCCACATTTGTTAATGGGCCATTAAGGCCTGGGCCAGTCTATTCTACATAAAGATCTACCTCCTTCAGGCAGAGCCATTTAATTGCCCTTCATTGCATCACCCAGCGAGATTCAACCAAACTTAGCACCCAGACAACCTACAAAGCTAGCTATGACCTCTGACAGCAACCAATCAGGACACTCTTCCTGTGCCCCCCAGGAAGTTCAAAGCCAGAGAGGGTTTAAAATCCAGGGACTCTCAGCGTCTCTTGCCTTTTTTTCCGCCCAAGATCTCCAAGGCATGTGATCCTGTTCATCAATAAACCTTCTTTCCAAGCAACTTCCAGGAATCCAGTGTCTTTTTCCCCCACTTGGAACTGAACCCAGAAGGATATTTCTTCCAATACTTCAAAGCACAAAAACCTTAAAAAGTGACGGGTGCCCAAGAAAGGGAGGGGAAGCACCAGCTCTTTTTCCTGAGCAATTTTTTAAAGGAGATCAAATTTGCTCTCTGGCTCCAATCCCTACAAATAATTTTTCCACAAGGGAAAGAGAGAAAGATCTGATGTTGGAGCTCAACTGCAGTGCTGGCTCCCTCAAGACCTCTTCATCCCAGGCCTTATTATGACATGATGCCACCAAGATTAAAAGGCAACCCTTGCAAGTAAGAACAACCTGGAGAAATTTGCCAGAAGCCTGTCTTCTTTTCTTTCTAAGATAATGCTAGGAAAAAAAATGGAGCTGGGAAAAATCCGTAAAAAAATAATAATAATACTATTTGGAATTGATTTTTATTCTATTTCTCAACAATATCTTCAATTGGAAAGGGCA